GCAACCAGAGGATTCATCCACCAACTTATAATCTCCCTTAAGGCAACCAGAGGATTCATCAACCAACTTATAATCCCCCTGAAGACAACCAGAGGATTCGTCAACCAACTTATAATCTCCCTTAAGGCAACCAGAGGATTCATCAACCAACTTATAATCCCCCTCAAGGCAACAAGAGGATTCATCAACCTATAATCCCCCTCAAGGCAACAAGAGAATTCATCAACCAACTTATAATCCCCCTCAAGGCAACCAGAGGATTCATCAACCAACTTATAATCTCCCTTGAGGCAACCAGAGGATTCATCAACCAACTTATAAGCTTCCTTAAGGCAACCAGAGGATTCATCAACCAACTTATAATCCCCCTGAAGGCAACCAAAGGATTCATCAACCAACTTATAATACCCCTCAAGGCAACCAGAGGATTCATCAACCAACTTATAATCTCCCTCAAGGCAACAAGAGGATTCATCAACCAACTTATAATCTCCTTCAAGGCAACCAGAGGATTCATCAACCAACTTATAATCTCCCTCAAGGCAACAAGAGGATTCATCAACCAACTTATAATCCCCCTCAAGGCAACAAGAGGATTCATTAACCAACTTATAATCCCCCTCAAGGCAACCAGAGGATTCATCAACCAACTTATAATCCCCCTCAAGGCAACCAGAGGATTCATCAACCAACTTATAATCTCCCTCAAGGCAACCAGAGGATTCATCAACCAACTTATAATCTCCTTCAAGGCAATCAGAGGATTCATCAAACAACTTATCATCTCCCTCAGGGCAACCAGAGGATTCATCAACCAACTTATCATCGCAAGGTTCTATCAACAGATACTTAAAAAGTCAAGCTGAGGACAGTTTTCTGCGATACTAAACTCATTTGTATAGAACAGTCAGCACTCGAGGGATGACTTGGTCAACATCACGCCGGTCACCTTTACTTCCAGAACATTTTCTGCTACCCACTGGATCAACCTGGAAGCCCAAGTCAAGTCTTGGACTGGATTCAAATGCAAGACCCTTGGACCAGCAAGGCAAGTGTTTAGCCATTGCACTATCACAGCTCTCATGAACAGATAACAAGATTACATCACTGTCCAAATGTGGGGATAAGGAGGGTGGGGAGGGTTAAATCCAGTGTACCTTGAACAAGCATGTCATAAAACCGGACTAATTTTGGGTTTGCTGAAATCAAATATGTTGGGCTGAAGATATTGCAGCCTAGCTGTAAACCGCAACACAACAGAACAACTGACCCTTTAAAGGTCAATGCAGAAAAAAGAAGATTACATCACTCAACAAGTAAAATAGTACCATTATTGGCAGCCAACTGTGTCTCCAGCAAGCTTGATGGCAAAAAGTGCTGCTGTCCTTCAGACTCTGACTGAGCTGCTTCACCGGGAACGTTACCCTGGGCACCTCCAAACACAGCAGCCCACTCCTGGGCGAACTCATCCTCTCCCGTGGATGGGGCGTTGAGGATCTCGTTGAGCAAAGTCATGTCATCCTTGTCTTCATCATCATCACGGGCTTGTTCCAGGTTTCCTGTAAGCAGGTCTTTGTCTGTACCTGCGGAAAAACAAACAAAATGTCAGACTCCCAGGATTAACACTCTCAAGATTAACACAGCCAGCATTAACTCTGACAGAAGCAGCTTTCAGAAGAGACACTGGGCACAAGAACTACCATGAAAAATAAAAAAAGCTAAACACCAATCAAGCCAGATTCTTGTCAGTACACTTAGACCAAATGTAAAATATATGAGCAGGTTATTATATGCTGGGTGGGATTCACAGAAGATATAATTACACATCACATTGCGCTTGAGAGGGATAGAGCTAATGTTCAGTAGTAAAATTTGTGAAGCATAGAGCTAATGTTTAGCAGTAACATTTGGGAGGGATAGAGCTAATGTTCAGCAGTAACATCTGGGAGGGGTAGAGCTAATGTTTAACATTAACATCTGGGAGGGATAGAGCTAATGTTTCGCAGTAACATCTGGGAGGGATAGAGCTAATGTTTCGCAGTAACATCTGGGAGGGATAGAGCTAATGTTTAGCAGAAACATCTGGGAGGGATAGAGCTAATGTTCAGCAGTAACATCTGGGAGGGATAGAGCTATTCAGCAGTAACATCTGGGAAAGATAGAGCTAATCAATGTTCAGTAGTAACATCTGTGAGGGATAGAGCTAATGTTCAGCAGTAACATCTGTGAGGGATAGAGCTAATGTTCAATAGTAACATCTGGGAGGGATAGAGCTAATGTTTGGTAGTAAAATTTGGTAAAGATAGAGCTAATTAATGTTCAGCAGTAACATCTGGGAGGGATAGAGCTAATTAATGTTCAGCAGTAACATCTGGGAGGGATAGAGCTAATGTTCAGTAGTAACATTTAGGAAAGACAGAGCTAATTAATGTTCAGCAGTAACATCTGGGAGGGATATAGAGCTAATGTTCAGTAGTAACATTTGGGAAAGACAGAGCTAATTAATGTTCAGTAGTAACATCTGGGAGGGATAGAGCTAATGTTTAGCAGTAACATCTGGGAGGGATAGAGCTAATGTTTAGCAGTAACATCTGGGAGGGATAGAGCTAATTATTGTTCAGTAGTAACATCTGGGAGGGATAGAGCTAATGTTCAGTAGTAACATATGGGAGGGATAGAGCTAATGTTCAGCAGTAATATTTGGGAAGGATAGAGCTAATGTTCAGCAGTAACATCTGGGAGGGATAGAGCTAATGTTCAGTAGCAAAATTTGTGAAAGATAGAGCTAATGTTCAGTAGTAAAATTTGTGAAAGATAGAGCTAATGTTCAGTAGTAAAATTTGTGAAAGATAGAGCTAATGTTCAGTAGTAACATCTGGGAGGGATAGAGCTAATGTTCAGTAGTAACATCTGGGAGGGATAGAGCTAATGTTCAGTAATAACATCTGGGAGGGATAGAGCTAATGTTCAGTAGTAACATCTGGAGGGATAGAGCTAATGTTCAGCAGTAATATTTGGGAGGGATAGAGCTAATGTTCAGTAGTAAAATTTGTGAAAGATAGAGCTAATGTTCAGTAGTAAAATTTGTGAAAGATAGAGCTAATGTTCAGCAGTAACATCTGGGAGGGATAGAGCTAATGTTCAGTAGTAATATTTGGGAGGGATAGAGCTAATGTTCAGCAGTAATATTTGGGAGGGATAGAGCTAATGTTCAGTAGTAAAATTTGTGAAAGATAGAGCTAATGTTCAGTAGTAAAATTTTTGAAAGATAGAGCTAATGTTCAGCAGTAACATCTGGGAGGGATAGAGCTAATGTTCAGTAGTAATATTTGGGAGGGATAGAGCTAATGTTCAGCAGTAACATCTGGGAGGGATAGAGCTAATGTTCAGTAGTAACATCTGGGAGGGATAGAGCTAATGTTCAGTAGTAATATTTGGGAGGGATAGAGCTAATGTTCAGCAGTAATATTTGGGAGGGATAGAGCTAATGTTCAGTAGTAAAATTTGTGAAAGATAGAGCTAATGTTCAGTAGTAAAATTTGGGAGGGATAGAGCTAATGTTCAGTAGTAACATCTGGGAGGGATAGAGCTAATGTTCAGTAGTAATATTTGGGAGGGATAGAGCTAATGTTCAGTAGTAACATCTGGGAGGGATAGAGCTAATGTTCAGCAGTAATATTTGGGAGGGATAGAGCTAATGTTCAGTAGTAAAATTTGTGAAAGATAGAGCTAATGTTCAGTAGTAAAATTTGTGAAAGATAGAGCTAATGTTCAGCAGTAACATCTGGGAGGGATAGAGCTAATGTTCAGTAGTAATATTTGGGAGGGATAGAGCTAATGTTCAGCAGTAATATTTGGGAGGGATAGAGCTAATGTTCAGTAGTAAAATTTGTGAAAGATAGAGCTAATGTTCAGTAGTAAAATTTTTGAAAGATAGAGCTAATGTTCAGCAGTAACATCTGGGAGGGATAGAGCTAATGTTCAGTAGTAATATTTGGGAGGGATAGAGCTAATGTTCAGCAGTAACATCTGGGAGGGATAGAGCTAATGTTCAGTAGTAACATCTGGGAGGGATAGAGCTAATGTTCAGTAGTAATATTTGGGAGGGATAGAGCTAATGTTCAGCAGTAATATTTGGGAGGGATAGAGCTAATGTTCAGTAGTAAAATTTGTGAAAGATAGAGCTAATGTTCAGTAGTAAAATTTGGGAGGGATAGAGCTAATGTTCAGTAGTAACATCTGGGAGGGATAGAGCTAATGTTCAGTAGTAATATTTGGGAGGGATAGAGCTAATGTTCAGTAGTAACATCTGGGAGGGATAGAGCTAATGTTCAGCAGTAATATTTGGGAGGGATAGAGCTAATGTTCAGTAGTAAAATTTGTGAAAGATAGAGCTAATGTTCAGTAGTAAAATTTGGGAGGGATAGAGCTAATGTTCAGTAGTAATATTTGGGAGGGATAGAGCTAATGTTCAGTAGTAACATCTGGGAGGGATAGAGCTAATGTTCAGCAGTAATATTTGGGAGGGATAGAGCTAATGTTCAGTAGTAAAATTTGTGAAAGATAGAGCTAATGTTCAGTAGTAAAATTTGTGAAAGATAGAGCTAATGTTCAGCAGTAACATCTGGGAGGGATAGAGCTAATGTTCAGTAGTAACATCTGGGAGGGATAGAGCTAATGTTCATTAATAACATCTGGGAGGGATAGAGCTAATGTTCAGCAGTAACATCTGGGAAGGATAGAGCTAATTTTCAGTAGTAAAATTTGTGAAAGATAGAGCTAATGTTCAGTAGTAACATCTGGGAGGGATAAAGCTAATTAATGTTCAGCAGTAACATCTGGGAGGGATAGAGCTAATGTTCAGCAGTAACAAAATCTGGAGTTAAAAATCTACCCAAAGTATTTTAGGATCCTTGCCGGTGGAACGGAGTTCGTACACTGAGCTGAAACTCTTCAGACTCAGGCTTAAATTAAAAGTAGAACGGAGCACTTGTGGGTTTCTAATCTTGCGCCTCGATGTTGATCCTTCGAATAAACATAAACATAGATGACTCAACAACACTAGGACAGCAACAACATCTGGCGCCAACAGGAAGCTCACCTTCAGGGTTTTGAATCTTTTTATTTTTGGCTGCGGTCTCCATAATTTTCCCAGTGAAATCAAAATCATCATCATCATCATCCTTGAGAAGGTTGTCATCTTCAGCGAAATCCATGAACTCTGAATCTTTGTTGCCAGTTGCCACTTTGGCTGAGCAAAAATAAAATAAGTGATGTTAAAAATGGATTGGTTTCATTTTTCATTTGTCTCATAATTAGAAACAAACTGAAGAGTACACACGGTTTATAAAATACACTTAATAAAAACAAGAGAATATTGTGGTTACCAGCTTTTACCAGCAAAGAACAACTCAGAACAAACTATAAAAGTAAGTAAATAAAGTAATGGACCCTTTTCCACCCCTTTAAACGTATTGGGCATATAGGGCTAGACCTATATTTTATAGACCAATCAGCTCTTGGTGGGTGATGTGGTCAGCATTATGCAGGCCGGTTTTACTTCCCAGGATTGCATCTTGTACCCACTCAAGGCTCGGGCCACCTGGGAGTCAAGGTGTTTTGAAAAATGTTTGACTCTGTCAGGACCTGACCTCCAACCTTCTGATCCACAGGCAAGTAAGTGTCTAGCCTTGATACCACTGCAACTCACCATAAAACAAACTATAACAACAACTGATGTGAAACGAAAATAAACAATCAAAAGGAAATGACATAACTGGTTCTTATAAAAAGCACTACTAAAAGTGTGGTGGTGCCTGTTTTGCCTTAGGCAAGTCACTTTTTGCCAACCACACACACTACTAGGGATCTATGGTCATCAAATGTAAGCAATAAAACAGTTCTTACACTTTCTGATTACAAAAATGAATAGAATAGACAACAAAAGGAAAAGAAAGACACATTTTTACCCTAAGCATAAATCAAAGAATCAAGGTAAGTTAATTAGCCATCTAGAGACAGGACACAGACACAACCACAATATAATGATCAATAATTAATTCTAGTTATTCTACTTTTAATTTCCCAATGCAGCACAGACTCTCAGTGATCCCCCATCAAGCCCTGTGTAAAATTGTTTTTGACTGGTTACAGTTTGCAGTTGAAAATTTCTAGGGAATGGGTAGTTGGTCTCATGTCAATCCTTCTTAATGACTTCTCATGACAATAAAACAGGCTGCACTGTTAGTTTTCTTGCTTCCTTACGACCTAGGGTCGTATTTTTAGAATTGATTAAATACAGATAAACAAGAATGAAATTAATAATACTAAAAACAAAATTAATTAAATTATCAGACGACGACATACACGTAAAGATAAAATCACAAGCAATTCATGATATAGTGTTTTTTTTTAATATATCAACTTTGACTCACAGTTCTGCTTCTGCTTGTTATCAAGGTGAAGGTCAGACAAAAGCTTGTCATCGAAAGCAGCAGAATCCCTGGCATCTCTCCCCTCTTCCTCCACAGATATGAGGCTGTAAGATTTCAAGAGTCAGAGACTGTTATATTTGGGTACAGCTAATCATGACGTTACGGCAGAAACTGCTACAGGTTAGCGGAATTCCAAGGCCCAGATATTTACCAGGAAGGCTAACCGGGACAAAAAGTGCCTGAAGAATGTGGTTGAAAATTGCAAATGTCGCAGTCACGCTGTTAATGGGCATGAAGCAATTACGGGTAAACAATGAAAAAGAAGACCCTCTGATATGACAAACTCTCCTACCCACTTGCCAGACTCAAACAAAAGGGAAGCACCTACTTGACAAATCTGACCATCAACATGACAGGTTTTAAACCTGTAACTGCCATATCTGAATTCTGCAGTACCAATTTGGGCTTTAAAAAAAATAAATTACAGACCCCTGCCCATTATAGCTGCCACTTTTTTTCCCATACAGGGAAACAGTCTTCTTTTATTTGGATACAATCTGTTAACATTTTAATTGCATTATTTTAAATGATGGCTGGTTCGAGTTTGCAAGTATCTTTTTGTTTTAATGGAATGGCCAGCTGGCTATTACTGTACAAATGATCTAATCCTGCATGGGTTTCTGCTCTTTGCCCTCAATACACGAAGTACACAAGCAAAAATTCAGCAGTTATTGTGCTGCTTCACACTAAATGTCCCTTGTATCTGGTTAGGAAAGAAGGAACATATGATTTTTTAAATTTTCAAGAGTTCGACATCCAAACAGGTATGATGAGTCTTGTGGGGATAACCACAAAAAAGACTCACTGGATGGAACCAGCTGAAGTCTGCTGAGTGGCAGGTGTTGTTTTCAAAGAATAAAGGTGAATTTAAAAAAAAAAACATAAAGTATATCTCAGCTTTACAGAAGTCAAGTATGCTGAGTTGACAAGCTTTCATTAGCAAACAATGAGAAACAAATCATTAAAAAAAAATAGTGACTCTGAGATAATGGTATTCAAATATAATTTAAATTAAAAAAACAAAACGGAATGAAATAAAGTAAGGAAAAGAGTGAAAGTGGATAAACATGACATAGAAAATTAAAATAAGTCTGTATAATTCATAAATAACTTATCATCTCCCAATTCAAAATAAGTATTCAGCAGAAAAAAGCTTAAAGGTTTTATGGAGAAAAAAAATTTAAAATACCAGATATGCACATAAATGATTCAGCACAGCCAGCACAAAGAAAACATCACCACATAAATGATTCAGCACAGCCAGCACAAAGAAGACATCACTACATAAATGATTCAGCACAGCAAGCACAAAGGAGACATCACCACATAACTGATTCAGCACAGCAAGCACAAAGAAGACATCACCACATACATTATTCAGCACAGCCAGCACAAAAAAGACATCACCACATAAATGATTCAGTACAGCCAGCACAAAGAAGACATCACCACATAAATGATTCAGTACAGCCAGCACAAAGAAGACATCACCACATAAATTATTTCAGTATAACCAGCACAAAGAAGACATCACCACATAACTGATTCAGCACGGCAAGCACAAAGAAGACATCACCACATAAATGATTTAGCACAGCCAGCACAAAGAAGACATCACCACATAAATGATTCAGCACAGCAAGCACAAAGAAGACATCACCACATAAATTATTCAGCACAGCCAGCACAAAGAAGACATCACCACATAAATGATTCAGCACAGCCAGCACAAAGGAGACATCACCACATAACTGATTCAGCACAGCCAGCACAAAGAAGACATCACCACATACATTATTCAGCACAGCCAGCACAAAAAAGACATCACCACATAAATGATTCAGTACAGCCAGCACAAAGAAGACATCACCACATAAATGATTCAGTACAGCCAGCACAAAGAAGACATCACCACATAAATTATTTCAGTATAACCAGCACAAAGAAGACATCACCACATAACTGATTCAGCACGGCAAGCACAAAGAAGACATCACCACATAAATGATTTAGCACAGCCAGCACAAAGAAGACATCACCACATAAATGATTCAGCACAGCAAGCACAAAGAAGACATCACCACATAAATTATTCAGCACAGCCAGCACAAAGAAGACATCACCACATAAATGATTCAGTACAGCCAGCACAAAGAAGACATCACCACATAAATGATTTCAGTATAACCAGCACAAAGAAGACATCACCACATAAATGATTCAGTACAGCCAGCACAAAGAAGACATCACCACATAAATTATTCAGTATAACCAGCACAAAGAAGACATCAACACATAAAAATTTGGAGGCACATATGCAAGTATATTATTCACACAATATTTAAAAGAGTGGAGAAGGAAACAGTAGTGCTGTACAAATGTCTCGTATGTTTATAATGATAAAAGGAGAAAAGGAAAGCCAACACTGAAAATAAAATAAAAAAAGCCATCTGTCCATATGGCTGCTGTGATACAAAGACAGACTAAAAACAGTCTTTAAGTAAAGTCATCACTGGACCATTTCCCACGCCTTCAGGCATTCTGGGCTTACAGAGCTAGAGCTATATTTTATAGACCAATCGGCACCTGGTGGGCGACAGGGTCTGCATCCTGCCGAATGCCTTTACTTTCCAGGACGCTACTTGGTCCCCATTTAAGGCTGGGACAACCTGGGAGCCAAGGTCATCTTTGGAAAAAAGTCAGGCTCCGCCAGGGTGTAATCCACGGCAAGCATTTAGCCACTGTGCCATGGCGACTCCCCAGCTATATATAAATAGATTTTTTTTTTTTAAATACTAAGGAATCAACTATTTCGACAACGCGTGCCTGGAATTTAAAGGGGTAAGGCTAGTGTATGATTGATGCAAATCTACTGTGTGTGTTCTTCTTCTTCTTCTTCTGTATTTGCTCTTGAAAGGGCGGCTGGCATGCTGTATTGTGGTTTACAGCTAGGCAATGATATATGCGCCTTTCGAGCCAACACATTTGATTTCAGCAGGCCCCCTAAATAGTTGCCTTTTATGAACTGTTATAAATGCGGCCTTTAAATGCACAGAGGGAGTGTAATGTGAACATGAATGGATGGGGACCTTTAACGCAGTACAGAGAGAGTGTAATGTGAACACGAAGGGATGGGGGGCCTTTAACGCAGTACAGAGGGAGCATAATGTGAACATGAAGGGATGGGGCCCTTCAACACAGCATAGAGGGAGCGTAATGTGAACATAAAGGGGAAACCTCTATACTATTATCCCCAGAATAAGGCAGTCATAAAATCAAATAGAGTGAGATGCTTTTAAAAACAATTCCTATCAATTGGGAAACCTTTATACTATTACCCCCAGAATAAGGCAGTCATAAAATTAAAAAGAGAGATGCTTAAAAAAAAAGTTCCTATTAGTTGTGAAACCTCTATAATATTACCCCCAGAATAAGCCAGTCACAAAATCAAATAGCTGAGTGAGATAGTTTAAAAAATAAATATTTTCCTTCCAATGTTTTAATAATCTGGCTAAAAAAAAAAAAGGTTTTATATTCACACCAAAAGGCAATTTTTTTTAATAGTGTTTGATACTAGTTTTTAACTGTCTTGCACTCAGTGAATGGGGAGCTACCATGGTGTAGCAGCTAGACTTTTGCCCTGGGCCTTAAGGCTGTAGGCTCAAATCCGCACTTAGCTGAATTTTGAAAAGAAAAAAACAACTTTGGCTCCCAGGTCAACCCAGCCTAAAATGGGTATCAGGTAAAGTCATGGGAAGTAAAGGCAGCTACGTCGAGTAATGCATGGTCTATAAAATACAGGTTAGCACTGTATGCCCAATATGCCTAATGGTGTGGAAAAGTGTCCTTTTACTCAGTGATCAAGGAAGGTGTGGGTATACAAAACATTAAAATGTCTTTTAATGTTCGGCAGTCAGTGACTGAGGAACTCAGTCTCGTGACTCTTGTTTCCTAGCACACTGTCTGGTACCCATTGCAGGCTGGTATGACTGCAAGTCTAGGAAGGTTAAAAAAACAAAAATACCTCGACTCGAAGAGGATTTGAAGACATGATCACTCAGACAGCTGACAGACAGGGAGGCTGCGTGGTCTAGAGGCACGGTGTCCGCCTCCAGTGCTGAAATCCCAGGTTCAGGCTGGAATTTTTTCATGTGTTATTTTAGTAATTTCCCCTGGTCTCTGGGTAGTGAGATCAGACGCCTTTGTGTATTGTTGCGCACACACACAAAAAATCCCTTGGCAGTTGGAAATTGAAAAGAGTAGCCTAATGGCACTGCCCGGGCAAAATTTTGAGTTGAAAAGCTACTCAAAAGTATTTCAGGATCCTCGCCGGTACTATGGAGTTCGTGCACTGCCCTGAGATTCTTCGGACTCAGACTTGAGTTAGAAGTAGAACAGAGCACTTATGGGTTACTACCCTTGTGCCACGATGTTGATTCAATGTTCAAACCTAAACCTAAAACTTGTACAGCAGGCAAACAGGCAAGTCACTGCACTCCAATGACTCCTATAAATGGCTGTAGCCATCCATTATCTGCCCAATTGTTACCAGGACCTATAAGGACCTTGTGACCCCAGCAAATCATCAGTTGTAAGATTAACTGACCCTGGTTTCCAGCCTAAGAGGAGTAACAGGAAATGTCCCTGGAAATAAATGCTGATGGTACTGCACTGACCTTACCCAACTAAAGAAATATGGATCTATCTAGCACCATAATGCTCCAATCACCAATGGTGTTGAAGGGCCCTTAACTCTGTTGTTAATCAGTCTCTAATCTCCATCTGCAAAACAAACTTTGTAATTTTGATATGCTGGGTTGGATCCCAGCTACAGTGGATTTGGCAGCATACTACTTAGCACTTGTTTCAAAAGTGGTACTGAGAGCTGACCATTCAGAAGCAATGGCAAACTACTGAATATAAACATTGTCTAGTGAAATCACAGCTAAAAAATGCAGGGGCTGGATGTGCAAAGTCTGTAAAGGATATACAACTAACTAGCTCTAATCTCCACCTATCCAGCTGCAAAAATATAATTTAACAT